AATGTACAAAAAAATTATAATAAACATTAATATAGGATTAATATGTAATATCAAATAGTTAATTAATTAATTGTTACATAATTATTAATTTATATTTTAATAACATTAATATGTAAGATTTATATGAATTACTTAATGTAAAAAAGACTAAAAAAATTTTTAAGGAAATTTTAGTTTTTGAAGAAGTTACTATTATTTTTTGAATCTCCTACATGATCATTTCATTTTTCACGCATTAGCAATAAACTGACAAAAAGCTGTTGGAAAAAGATTGCTCAATAGTTATATGGCAACAAATGGCATTTTATTTGATAAAAGATTAAGATTATTTAAATTTTTTCAAATAAAATTATATTTTCTTTTTAAATGAAAATGGATTAGTTCAGGAGTTATTAATTTTGTCCCAAAATCCACTACAAGATCAAACACTGTGTAACGTACCAAATCAATTTCTATTAGTTTTTGTTCGAGTGGCTAGAAGGAAGGTTGTCGGAAGTAGGGTAAATATGGCCGCGTAGAAATCATGATGGCATAGTAGAGTAACAGAGAAGAAAAAGAATGGGATTTGTATGAGTAAAGTGACGACCATGTGGCTATTCCTCAAGATGGGTAATTCTCCTGATAACATCAGGTAGAAACAGCATTTTTAAAAACGGAGACACAAATCGCTTTGCGTGACGTCATAAAATATTCCGTTTGTTCTCGTGACCTGTTCGCAACAAGCGAAAATTAATGATATCGAGGGATTCATAATTTAAAATCATTGATTTTATATATGCATAACCAATTTCGTGTTATTCGCCGGTTATAGAAACTAATATGTTCCCTTTCTATTCCCTGGTCTCCACTTCTACTATCCACGTGACGTCACCAATGTTCCGTTTGTCCCCATTTTTGACAAAGCTGCATTTGGCCACCCTGGTTTTTGTACCGTACAGTATCAGGGGTTGTTAAAAACATTCGTAACCACGTGATTTTAAAATTTCGATGACCGGACGCGGATCTTTTATTGGCATATCTTGCAAGAAAAACATTATTTTTCATTTTATATCAATCTGATAGGATATTCCTTTTCATAGTTCCGTAGTTTCATTGTCACACTTACATTAATTGTGTATTATATCAGCTTTCTTTTCTCTAAAGCAATAACATATCACACTGATAAATCATAATAAAATGTGACATGTAAATTCATTCGTAAGAAACATTGTTAAATACAGTGATAAAAAATATTCGAAATAATTTTTTTGTTCATGATGTCGTATGATCTTCATTTTTCAAAATGTATAACAAGAGGTTTACAAAAAACAACCACTGTAGCCTTTTTCATTTCTACCATATAGGGTGGTGGAGCCGATTACCGTGGAGTGACTTTGATCTTTTTGCGAATATAATTAAATTTGTTTTTATCGGATAAGAGATATTAAATTGATAAATTCAAGAAGAAACAAAATAACGAAATAAAATAATAATAAAAAATAAATAATAGTAACTTAAATAAATTATAATAAAAGAATACAATTTAAACAAAAAATTAACCGAATAAAAGAATGATGATTGAAGTTCATTACCCCATCTATCACTACCGAAAAATCTGGTTTGCTATCAAATTAAATGTAAACCTTTTCGAATATGAAATACGGACAGAACAATAAAAAAATTACTGCTGTTGTGTTTTTCTAGTCTGCATAAAAATAAACAAAATAGTATTGATTGATTTGATCTGGAAATTTCTTTCGTTATTCCTATACACCTGCGATAAAAGTTAAATAGTTGAAATCAATTTAGTTGTACAACTTACATATCATCGTTGTTAGCGGCGTTGTGTATGGCCTTGACGTTACATACATAGTATCGTTTCTATTATCCAGAACTGGTTCGCTTGAGTTTCCACCACTGAATTCTCGTATCAATGATTTTGGCGCGCAACATTGATGTCCTTGTTTCTTGCATTTGAATAAATTTGTTAATTCAGCATTTCCTAAAAATAGCATAATAAAAGATATTTTTCTCGTGCGAGCAAAATTTCTTACAATCTGCTAGCTGCATACATGAATTCCACAATATCAAATGTATCATGGAAAATTGGCATCGTTAACGTAGTAAGTGTATACTAAAAGCTTTACGGATACAGAATTTAAAGCTGGACATGTTTGATGTACATTGTTGCTGTATAAAGGTCAGCAGAAGGTCATACTTCAGTGTCTATTGTATCATAAAAAAATAACAATCTTGAAATCTCTAAAAGTATCGCTCAGATTCAAATATTTGTTTTCATCAGGTACAGTGACTCGCATTAATATTCGGACACGATATTGTTAGAAGAATTATTGCTCCTTTTTATTGTTTATGTCTTAAATTTGAAATGATTAATTCTGTATTTACTTTACGCCACAGCATTTTTTGACTGTCAGATCCGTAAAGATTAAATTTGCTTTCATCCGAAAATATTACATCATTCCACCACCAGTTGTCTCTGTAAAAATATATATATATTTATTGCACATGTTCTTTTGTATAATAAGCGATAAACAAGATTGTGACAAAATTGAACGTCGCAAAAAAAAATCTTTTTAATCATGTTATCATAATATTAATATTTTGTCGGTTGACCCTTTTGTTTTATTACTTCATGTAATCGCTTGGGCATGTTACAGATGATTTTATTTAAATAATCCGGCGAAATCCGTTTCCATTCGTCTAACAAACGTTGTTTTATGTCTGTTGTTGTCTTTGTAGGTGTTGTACGAATTTTGCGGTCCAATTGATCTCATAAATTTTCAATTGGATTTAAATCAGACGATTGAGGAAGAGAATGCAGTACTTTTGGACAATTGTATAATAATATCCATAATATCATCGATAAAAACTAGTTCATCTACACCTATAGACGAGACTCCACTATAACTATGACCCCACACTATTACACTCCTACCACCGTGTTTCACTCTGTCGGTCTTAAATTTGCAAAAGAATATTTTTACAGAGACAACTGGTGGTGGAATGATGTAATATTTTCGGATGAAAGCAAATTTAATCTTTACGGATCTGACAGTCCAAAAATGCTGTGGCGTAAAGTAAATACAGAATTAATCATTTCAAATTTAAGACATAAACAATAAAAAGGAGCAATAATTCT